GCTACTGTCAATGGTTATATGAAACTAGTCAATAGAAGGCAATCAGAAATAGCAAGGGCAATATTATACCGAACAGGCTTGTCAGTACCAAATGGGAAAACTGAAATACTACTCTAAAGATTGCACTGAGCTAGTAAAATAGCAGATATACTGACAATCGGCAAATGGTAAAAAAAACCCTCATATCTTCTATGATAATTATCTGTTTTCAGCCAGGCAGCCCACGCTTCCACATGTGTGGTATCCACTTTGATCAGCTTCAAACACGTAACTGACGCAAGTTATTGATTTGAGCTAAAGGACACCACTCCCCTTGTGCTAGCCTGATTGTTTTTCTAAACAACTGGCTTCAGGGCCCAAAGAAATTGACAACTGCCATTACCAGCCACCCAATATAAGTAACTGAGGGTGCCACAGAACTGCCCCAAAAGCCATAACTACAGACATTTGCATAAAGCTGAACTGCCCAGTTACGTTGTAGAAGCTGAAGTAGGTAAACTGATCTCCAATATGGGAAGTAGGATATTTATTATTCATGAATCCTAGGACTGGAAGCATAGGACTGGAAGGGACCTCGAGGGGTTTTCTAGTCCAGTCCCCTGCACTCATGGCAGGACTAAGTATCATCCAGACGATCCCTGACAGATGTTTGTCTAACCTGGTGTTTGAAGCACCATAACTGTGTCGGTGCTTTACTACAGACCGTATTCATACTAACCTAAAAAGCAAAACAAAATCCCTGCCACCCTCTCAAACAGAGAGAAGGTAATTGGTAATGTATCTTAACACACAGCAAGGAGCTACAAAACAACATAACACTGAATACTAAAAACTTATGGCAATACTGAAGCAAGGTGAAATAGTTAGTGAGCCATACTCCATTTAAGTTTGTCTATTCTTGACACTTTCACAACTGAGCAAATCTTCTAAAGGGGATGGGGGGGGAGGTGAAGATACATTATATGGAATTTCTGTCTTTTCCACACTGCAAGTGTTTGTGAAAAATTTTCAAGTCTCCTTCAATCTTGTAATTTTAGTAAGACCAGTAAGATGCAAAATTGTCTTCAAAATCTAAAGCACCACATGATCTAGCAGCCTAAGCATACAATTATCTTTCCATGTCTCCCATTCACAGGTCTTTAATACTTTGCACTTGCATACAAGTGAGTTTTCTGATTTTAAGTGGCAGTGATTTTGGAAAGGAGAGCCTGCCTGTGCTAATATGGCTCTGGTGAAACCGGTTGATACCGACAAGCATAGCAGGAAGCAGAATTCACTGAGAGATTTGTCTTCTGTCAGCAGTTTGTGGAGATATAATTTTTATTTATAGAAAAGTCTGCATTATTCATGCAGCTTAGCATTCCACATCCAATGATCAATTTAGGCATATTAGATGAGGTGGGAAAGCCAGACCATTAAAAATTCACACCTGCAACATGCATCTAACAACACATATTGAGATTTTAAGGAGTTGGGCAACAGAGATTCACAGAGTCCAAACCAAAAAAAAGCTCATATTCCTGTTCCAGCATTTCCCTATGGAATGTCAATTCAAATGACTGAAGAGACAGGGTGAGTGAGATAATATATTTTAATGGACAAATACATTGTCTCTCTAATATCCTGGGACTAACATAGCTACAACAAAACTGCATAATTCAAATGATTGATATGCAATTTACTTTCAGCCATACTAGGTGAGTACATTTGCTGGATGTAACTGGTGTATCATCCAGCAACAGATGCTAATATTTAATAGCAGAGTGTCAAAGTTTAACTCCCCATCAAGATAAGTGGGGATTTTGTGCCTTGGTGCTACTGTTTCCTTGAGTCAGTATTTACACTTCAAAAGGAGAAATAGAAACTTTTTAAAATAAAAACTGGAAACCTGTAGGAAAATCCCATTTCCACAGTTTCTGAAGGCTCTCTCAATGCTCTCTCCATTGTCTCTGCCCATGATTTTGCATTCCTCTTTGGTGACTTGAATTAGTATTTCATGTCTGTATTCAACTCCCTAGTTTTATATTCCAAATGACATTTGACATCCTCACAGCTTTAATGTTATTTGAATTCCTCCACCCCATGCCAACTACAATTAATTTAGATTACACACAACGGGACCTTTACTGTAGTGTCCTGCACAAAAGACAGACACTCTAGGCAGAAATTCACTAACTGGAATTCCAGCATACACAGTGTACTGAAACACTAGTTCAGGATAATGTTTTCAAAAGCTTTGAGTTACCCAGAGACTACACTACAAAAAGTTAACACTGTGCAAACAGATGGGCCAGAAACTAATGCAGGAACAGTGGGTTTAAAAAAAAAAAAAATCAGTCCTACCCATACGAGAACAAAATGTGCTTTAACCATGTCAAGTTCTACTGTGGCAGGACCACAAACCACAACAGTATAGCTTAAAATGGGACAACTGAGACTTATTGTTATAGCACAAATGGAGTTTCACTATATACAAGTTCACTTTAAGGGCTTGTCTACACTTACTGCACTGCAGCTACACCGCTGTAGCACTTAGCAAAGTCATTACCTCTGCGGATGGGAGAGCTTCTCCCATGAGCATAGGTACTACACCTCGCTGAGAGGCTGTAGCTATGACAACGGGAGAAGCCCTCCCGTCACATAGCGCTGTCTACACCAGCGGTTAGGTCAGTATAACTGCATCCTTCAGGGGATTTTCCACACCCTGAGTGATGTAGTTATACTGACATAAGTTGGTAGTCTAGACCAAGCCTAAATGGGTTACATGATATATGCAGTATCTAAATACAGAATATTTTACAACACCATGAATTACTCTGCTAGGGACTGATAATACCATCTCAACTTCCTATCATTCCCTAATCTCTTCCTCACTGAGGCTGGAACCAGCTACCAAATTCTCTGCAGTCTTTTTCAAAGGGAAAAGAAATGGCTGGCTTCCAGATGGCCAGTGTAGAATACCAGTGTGAGGTGTCATTTTATCTTAAACAGTCTTTAAATAACACTAACAATGGCCAAAAACCGTGCCATTTCAAAAAGTTAAGGATTTTGTCTACACTATTTCTCTACATTCTTTATTAGAGTAATTTCTCCCAATTTTTTAGGAAGAACAGACTGAATAATCAATTGAAATTAGGCACTCCCATAAATTAACAGGAAAAGACAACCGCTCATGCATGATTTTAGTATTATGCCCAGACAAACAAACTGATATATATTCCCTTTCAGGCATAACCTTAACTATTGCATATAAATATATAGTTAAGGGTATGCTTAAAAGGGAATCCAAATACATTAAGGTATCAAAATGCACAAACACCTAAATAAGCTAACTCTGTCCTTTAGCGACATCATAATAACCATAACACTGAGGCATTTTCATGCTTCTGGTCCCAGATTCAACTAATTTTTTTAACAGGTGTTGGGTCTGGTGACTCCACTGAAATCAGAAGGGACTACCTGTGGAGTGAGGGTGCTGGAATCAGACCTTTGGCATGGCTTTAACATGCATTCCCTTTGAAAGTGAATTGGCAGTCTTCAGTGTTACTGCCTCTGTCTTTTTTCAGATTTCTGTACGTATGGCAACACAGGATGACAATAAATCTGTACTGTTCACATTTCACAGCAGTTTACTTGAAAACCTTTTGCTGAACCTTTGCTTGAAAACCTGCAAGCAAAGCAGCAAGACCTTTAAATAGGAAGTTTAGCCTTAATGTGTTGATTTTTTGTACCCTGTTGAAGCAAATGGCTTGATTTTCAGAGATACTGGACAACTGCAGCCCCTACAGAGGATAAAGGGAGCTGCTGGTGCACAGCACCCTCAAATCAGGTCACTAAACCTCACCTGCTACAGTGTTATTAGAAATGGGGCTCAAACAGGAAGCCTAAACACACACACTTCCGCCTCTAAAAATGGTTTTGAACTCAATGTGACAACTCACAGACTAAGTTTCTATTTCAGGTGAATAAGGGTGGCAGCAACAGGCGGTAAGATTTAAATGAATGATTTTTGTGACATTGTGACCTACTTAATCAAACTTCCTGAGAATAATAATACTAAGACTATCCAAGTGCACTGGAATGACTAGATTGCTTAAGCATTACTTCACCTCTGATTTTCTCAGTCTAGAAACAAGAAATTACAAGTAACTCACTGCGTTCATTTGGGGCCCAGTCCTGCTCCCAATGAAGCCATGTCATGTCATGGCTTCCATGGTGGGGGTGGGGGGAAGAGGATTAGATCCTTATTCAGAAATGGTGATGAAGCACAAGGAATTTCAGAACTCTCCAACTGCACACATAAGCAATCTCAGTTACAAGCTGGCCATTGAGAGAAGTTCTACTTACTTTTGATACTTTCCTCTTTGAACCTTCAGCACTTTCCGCCTCCTCATGTTCTTTGGCTCCCTGAGTGAGATTTGTGTAGCTGACCAACTTACCAAGCAGAGAAGATACCTTTGGTCGTATATCCAGTTCCTCCTGTGGAGGAAAACAACTTATGTAAGCCAAAGCGGTCAGAAAGAACAGGGCGGATCATATAGCCCTTTGGCAGGGCTGGAGATAAACTCACTGAAAGAGGCTGCAGTAGAATAAATGAAATATTCATTTTGTCTGATTTGACTAGAGGACATTTGGGCTTTGAAAGCTGTCTTAGGAAAGGTTTACAGTTATGGGGAGTCAAAGACAATAGGGACTCACCTTCTACTTGTCATGAATTGGCAATGAAGTGCAAGGGAAAAAGAGCTCTAAACTCCAGGATTTCAGGAAAGTGAAAGATTTGCAGTTGACTATTATGCATATCTTGGGTTAACATTAAAAAAACATTTTCAGGGACAATTCTTCAACTAAGCCAGAGATCCGGTGCCCAGAGTCCCAGCCATTGCAGTGTTATGGGCACATTCCAGTAGATTTAATATGATCAATATCTAATCCAGGGCCTCTGAGAGGTTTGAGGTTAGCTAAGCCTCCTAAAATTTGTATGTTTGTTTGAATGTATGAAGGTCTCACAATCCCCTCTCCCTAAATTCCCCACATCCAGGAGAATTCCTCTTACTCTGTGGCTGTCTTTGAGGGTGGGGAGAGCCAGTGTGTTGGTACTTTGCACCAATGCGCTCGAGGAGAGGCAAGCAGGCACATTCCCCCCATACTGCACCTTCATCCTATCTTCTGGGGGTGAGCCACTTGTCTCATTTTTATACCAGCTGGGATCTTTTGGGAAGTGTTTATAGAGTACTCTGATTACTCTCACTCTTACAGCTTCTCTTCTCTGTCTTCCGTCTGTATTCTTTTCTGCATTATCTCCTTAAGATCCTTAAAATAGTTCTGTTGTTCTGAACTTTCTGTTCTGCGCCTCCCCTTGTGCCTGCCCCACACATAGAGCACACCTGTCAGGTTAACATTTTCTCAAGTGCCAACCCTACTACTGCAATAACTAAAAATCAGGGAAGTCACCAGTGAAGCCAACATTCTCATCAACTCCAACCTCAGCCATCATAATTTATCAGCCACACAGACCCACAGATCCTGCAAATATACAAAGTCCCTTTGTTCTAACACAGCCACCCACAATACGCCCAAGCCCACTCAAAAGCAAAACTCCAGCGTCCACCAGATTAAGATATCTTTCCTGGCAGACATGCATTTGAGAGAAGTAATCATCTGTTATCTGTCCATGAAGTCTCAGTTAAGGTTTTGCTCAGAGCGAGAGTGGCAAGAACTGGAGGTGTGCATTGAGACTGGTTCCGTCTTACAGGCACTAGACTTCTTCAGCACAAGCCTCTACGTGACGGGTCATCACCGTGGAAACAGCTTGTGCTAAAATGGAGCTTTTGTGACCTGATGGAGCAGCGGCTCAGCAGCAGCTAATCTAAATGGCCTGTTGGGAAAGGGAATGCTTAAGAAAGCTCAGCACATGCTTTCTCATGAACTGAGGCATCTGAATGGAGGGCTGATAATTCTCCCTTCAAGAAAAAGTCGAGGATTCTTGCTTCTTTGGATTCTATGGGAGTAGCACAAACAACATGCAGTGACAGGAGAAAACTGGAAGCAAATGGGAAGATTAATGGATTCTTAGGGCCCTGGAATTACTACCTTCTTCTTTAAACAAAATACACACACACACACACACACACACACACGCGAGTTCAAAGATGACTACCTAAAATTAGCCATCTGTGTAGCCTGATCTCAGAGGCACTGAACAGCCATACTTATAATTGGAGTTGATAGGAACTGCAGGTGCTCAGGACCACTGAAAATTAGGACTCCTAAATAACCAACTTTAGGCACTAAATCTGAAAATTCTGGCCTTCATTTATAGAGCTTTCCATTACAAAATTATGGCCTTCCCCATGTAAATCAATGCCCTGCTAACCCAGCCACGCAAATCAAAAACAAAACAAAAAAACCAAGCCTGAGCAACCAATCTGCAGACAAAAAAGTGGTACTGGTAAGAAGTTACTCCTCCTCTGTGCTGTGTGAACCTCAAAACATACTCTCAGCATGTCAAACTTGCTAAAGGGTGAAGAGGCACACTCCTCAACCAGACACATGATACAGCAGCAGCCGGTCAGGAAAGGGTTTCACGGTATGACTGGGGTTTTATCCCAGACTTATTTATCATGTTGTCCATTCCTGATCCTGTAGCTCAGTAGCTGGTTGCTATCATACACGGTATGATGCAAAAACTAACCGCAAGCCAAGAAAAAGAGTTGTGCATGGGAGAAGCCACCAACCAGCTAGCTGGCAAAAGCGAATAATAGCAGATGCTGGTAGATTGGGTCAGTGTGGTGCTGCTGTATTGAACCTGATCTTCTGGGTTCTTCAGAGCCTCCTGGGCATCAAAGCCCAAACATGCTATTTTTTTCCCACCCATCCCTAATCTGTAGCTCACGTCATTCCTTGTTCCCAGTCTCTGGAACCCATATTCCCAATGTTTAACCTTCTGGCACTAGGTCCTGACAGCAGAGAGGCTGAAGTAGCGACAGTTACATGTGAGTGCATGGCACCTGGGATTCCAACTGTTCCTTTTGCTTTCTACTCCACACATCACCGGCAGAACAACCGCCCACAGACACTGCCTTGGACAGTGGCATTATAAGTGTATATTAAGAGGCATGACATACCAAAAGCCACCCAACACTTTTAAAAGGTTTTTAAAAGGCACAAATGGCATTTAGGTGTCTCACTGCTTGACTTTAGATGGGAATTAGGCATCTACTTGCCAGTTGTAGCTTTGAAAGTCTCCATCCCCTCCCTCTACAGAAGAAAGAGATAAAGACCTTATCTTCTATTCTCCATAACTCAAGATCAAAAATGCTCATGCCCAGTGGTCTGGAAAGCAAAATTAAAGTTTACCTCAAACAAGGCCAAGTTTCTGTCATAATAATCACTTCCCTTGCCAGCTTCAGAACTGTTGAGAAAAGGACTGTTTTCTTTATGGTTGCCATGACCTGCAGAAAGAAAAAAGTAGTAGTTTTTGGTAAGTTTGGAATGGAGGTAAAATCTGAGGAGCATCTCAACTCCCCGAGGAAGACTGTTCTATTCAACAGCTGTTCTATTCAATTTTAATAAGCTGTTCTATTCAATTTTTAAAATCCCAATTTGTGTTCAGCATATAATTTTAAAATGGCATAACTGTGTTAGTTATGTTTCATTTACCATGACACAGAGAAATTGAAACCGTCATTGATATTGCTTTCTGTGTTGAAAGTAATCTTTTTTTAAAAAGACAAGGAGTAATACAAAACTGCCTCAAGGGGAAGTTTACAGGTGGGACCACTGCCAAGATGATGTCTTGGGCCTAATAACCTTGACAGTTTCATTTTTACTTTTTTTTTTTTTTTTTTTAGTAGAGTATTATGATGAATCAGAAAAGACAGTTCCTGAGAGCACTCACAGTTAGAGACTATTGCTGATTTGTAACACGATTTTCTGCTTAAGCAATAAGTACACAAACAAATTACACACATCTAATCAAGCTGATTCAAAAAATATTTAGTAAGCATTGTTGCAGCCTAGTTAAGATAATACCATGTCAACTAACAAGTATTTTCCTTCTATTTTATTGCAAACTAAATTCTGTAAGTAAATATGCACTTTCTCGGTTGCACTAAACCAGTGGTGGGCAACCTGCGGCCCATCAGGGTAATCCGCTGGCAGGCCGCAGGACAATTTGTTTGCATTGACCGACTGCAGGCACGGCCACCCGCCACTCCCAGTGGCCACAGTTCACCGTTCCCGGCGAATGGGAGGGGCACAAGCTGCAGGGACGTCCTGGCCACTGTTTTCCACAGCTCCCATTGGCCGGGAACGTAAACAAACTGTCTCACGGTCCGCCAGTGGATTACCCTGACGGGCTGCATGCGGGCCGCAAGTTGCCCACCACTGCACTAATCCCTTCCCCCTCATGTTTTTGTTCATATAAAATTACAAGCTTTTTGGGATAAAGACTCTTCTTAAGAGTCTAAACTAGCATCTAGCACATTTGGGTGCTGTACAAACAAATATTTCATAGCTTTTATATACTGTACAATGTGCAAGAAAATTTAGCACAGCACAGAGAACCTAAAGAAAGTTTTAAAATAGTTTCAGTATTAAAACTTTTTAAGCGCACTGCAGCATAAAATGATGTGATATTCTGCACAACAGAACAATGGTTCAGGTTTTCAGAAATTCTCAGCATCTGCAGCTACCATTGGAGCTGTAGGTGATCAGCATTTCTTAAATTCACATCTTTTCTTTAGCACTCTGAACTGCATTCCATGTGTTTCACAGGTCCAATACACAAGGCACAGGTGTTTACAGGTTCATGTCCCTAAAAGAAAACAAATATAACCTAAAAGATATTCTAGTCCAGTGGTTCCCAAACTTGTTCCGCCGCTTGTGCAGGGAAAGCCCCTGGTGGGCCAGGCCGGTTTGTGTACCTGCTGCGTCCGCAGGTTCGGCCGATCACAGTTCCCAGTGACCGCGGTTCGCTGCTCCAGGCTAATGGGAGCTGCTGGAAGCGGCGGCCAGTACGTC